AGACACATTTGTCGACTTGCCACAGCCATGGCTCTAATATTACATTTTTGACTGTAGGCCTACATACAAAACTTTTCACAGAGCTCAGTTAAATGTTCTTTGATATAAACTGTTAAAGTCAAAACGAATGGTAAAATACAGGTTGTAATTCAATTGAATATAGTTTAAATAAATAAATACAACACAACACGCTGTAACTGTTCTTCAGGTGGTCCAGCTGCATACAATTACAAAACAAGCTGGAGACGTCTGAGCTTTGAACTGAGAAGAGTCATTATTTGTCGTTATAGGTTTTATATGTAGTAATTAGATTAAATACCTTTAACATTTCATTGGGGTGCAATGGCTGTGACATATTTAAACATTTCTGTCATGCAGCATCCGAATCTTGTGTCATGTTTTGGTATGACATAATATCAGACTGAAGAAACTGAAAAGCTATAATCTCCAAATTCTGGAGTGTTTTGCCTACAGTCTCACTTAATGGTCTCCCATACATCTCTAAATCATACAAACAAAATGTTACAAAAGAACTAAACCAAATAACCCTCTTCGTTTTAACCACCCTCTATAAATACTGAAGTACAGACAGCAATTGTCTATAGCCCATTGTCTCCAGCTTCCTAAAACAGGCAGTGTCTTATTGAAGAAACTACTGGAAATCCTTGCTATGAGAAGTGTCCCATGTTTCAATAGGAAATCTAGTTAATCTACATCTCATTGCGTTTGCAAAAGGCTCTATTTTGATACAAATGTTGCATATCTGTGTGAAGGATTCTGGGCTGATCTTGTGAATGAAGAGCAAAGATACTGTTCTTCAGAAGGAGGAGATTGTAAACAGCTTGAGTGGCACTTGTATATGCAGTGTTTTTCACAGACGCACACATGCACACACACACTCCTGCTACTCAAAAACAAATGAGGTGAGAAGTTTAACAAGCTACCTTGCAGCTAAAGAGGCCGTTTATTTGTTTGGGTGGCATGAGAATTTCCTTCTCATTACTGGCCCTGAAAGCAGCGGCGTCTGTGTGGTTTGCAGTGTAATGCAAATACAAATCTAATATGGAGAGGTAATTGCTAAAGATCTAATGAATTTTAATTTAGGTCCCGTGACGGGACGGGACATGTCAGATGCTAGAGAGTATTTAATTGGTCAAGATTTGATGAGAAAATGTAATATGAGGTGATGAAAAAAATGTTGATTGATTTAGGCGGAAGTGACAAACTGCAAGGTTTACATGTCTACAGTATATTTGTTTTATATCTTTTAAATGCGGATTTTGTCAATGACTTTGTTTACATTTATATTCGTACTGTATGTACAATAATTCGATTTTAATAGGAATAAAACAATACTCTGATTAAGAGTCTACCATGTAAACAGCAATTTTTGATTACCTGATTACGATTAAGGTCATAATTGAGAAATAGAAACAGAAATCGGATTAAGACATGTGGAGTATGTCGATTTTAGTCGCATGGTTGAAATGCAGCACAAACATGTTAACACTGAAATTAAACTATTACCTTCGTGTAGGATTTTCGCCACATTTTGCGACTGGACAGTCTGTACAAACATGGCTGTTTGACACTATTCTCTGCACCTACCAAGTCAGTGAAGGACCACAGACACCTGCATTGCAAAATGAGGAAGGTTTTTTAAACCATACGGTGTGCGATATGAAATTGCATTAAAACAACACACTTCCAGCAGTTCATACTCACATCCAATATCTTGATTGTCGCTTCAGCATGCATGAAAGGTTCCTGAATGAAAGTGAAAGTGCCAAACTGCAGTGAAACATCAACGGATTTAAAATGAAACTTCTTTAATTACTTGAAACTCCGGAGGAAATGTCGATAGAGCGGTGATGCAATGTCATTAACCGAATAATGTGCTACAACATGTAAAACAGGATCATAAAAGGATCATTCAAAAGGCAACTCATTCAAACACCTCAGTCATATAACTGTCTTATTCAAATTAAGGTAAATAAATCAATTACTGATGTCCATGCGAGCACTATTTTGGTGCTCACTAGCTAATAAACATCCTTAAACCTAACAGACTGAAACTAGCACCTATATCTATATATTAATTAATTTTCACGGAACCTTTAAATACCTAACAGATGTGCATACCAACAACTCACTGTAGTGTAGTGTATTGAAATAAAGGTACACACTAAATCCTTTTGTGGCAAAGAGCAGTATATTAAATAATAGTTGGGTTTATCAGCTTGTACTGTTTTGTGAAAATATGTTTTATGCTTTTCTATTTATATGTAAGGCATACATGACAGGTCATTGAATAACAATGAAAAAAAAAGGTGGTTATATGTTCACAGCATGAATAACAAAGTTAGCAAATCTCAAGACATTCATGAGGTTTTATTTTTTTAAACATTCTTGTGTGCAGTACCGATTTCCGTACATTTTATATAAGTGACTTCAACATTAGTAGCATGGGTTGGTTAAGGTAAGAGGTAGGTTTCAGAGTTATTGGTTAGTTTAGGTTAGGGACAAGCTGAAAGGACTAGTTCATCCAAAAATTAAAGTTTGGTTATTAATTACTCGCCCTCATGTTGTTTTAAACCCCCAAGACATCATTCATCTCAGAAACACAAAGATATTTTAGATGGAATGTAAGAGCTCCCTCATCCTCCATAGATAGCAATGGTCCTGAAACGGTCCCGAAACATTTCACAAGACTTCAGTGGTTCAACACTAATCATAATGTGCGAAGCTCCAAGATCACTTTAACGCACCAACAAAAAAAAATGTAAATATATAAATCTCGGTTGTCATAGAGCATGTTTAAATGGCAGCAGGGCATACCTCTATTACATCAGCTCAACAGCTCAGCAGTTCAAAAGCTTAACTCGGTTTGAAACAACACGGCCATGAGAAATTAACTGAATTTTAATTTTTGGTTGAACTAACCCTTTAATTATATGAGTTGATCCAGGTTAGGGTCAGGTAAGATAGTATAATTGTGTTAGTGTACAGATTAAGTGGTACAGTATATGTGCTGGCTCAGGTTTGAGACAGGTTTAGTGGTAAAGTTTGGGTTATAACTGATCAGCAATGAAGGCTGTAGTGTTATTTTACATTACATTTGATTATTCGATAACTGTCCCTGAATATCTTTGACTCGTTTATTTATGCTTGCATTTTGTTTGATTTACTCCACTATAAAATTATTCCAATCCTAAATTAAAGATTGCACTCCAAGTTGATCTATTCAAGTCATCTGCTGTAATTGTATTCATTTTGCAATATATAAAACAGCAAAATAAGACATAGCAATGGCAGATTTTCCAATATCGTGCAGCCCTACGCCTAACCATCACACAGCACAAATTCCAACATATTTGTTTAGTTAACTTGTCAGTCATCCTGAGCAGTCGCTGAACATTTAAAGATGCCAGAGTTCCTAGACATTGAGCCATTTGTCTTAAGTCAGGCTACTTGAGACAAGATTAAAATGGTTTTATGGTTAGGCTGGTTCAGTTTAAGGACAGGTTTAGGTTGGTTTGATGGTTGTTTAAACAGGTCGACTGTATTAGTAATTAATAACATGCAGGTATTTTTCAAATTAATGTAAAAAAAAAAACATTATGCACATGTATTGCATAAAAATATTCATTTAAATGTACACTACTTGACAAAAGTTTTATCATCAATTCCAGTTGTAAGAGCAACAAATAATAACTTGACTTCTAGTTGATCATTTGAAAAAGTGGCAGAAAGTAGATTTTTCCAATGAATCATCTGTTGAAGTGCACGGCAATCATCACAAATACTGCAGAAGACCTATTGGAACACGCATGGGCTCAAGATTCTAACATAAATCAATCAAGTTCGGTGAAGGAAAAATCATGATTTGGGGGTTACATTCAATATGAGGGTGTGCGAGAGATCTGCAGAGTGGATAGCAACATCAACAGCCTGAGGTATCAAGACATTTGTGGTGTCCATTACTTTAAAACCCACAGGAAAAGGTGAATTCTTTAGCAGGATAGTGCTCCTTCTCATACTTCAGCCTCCACATCAAAGTTTCTGAAGTGTTGCTCATGGCTTGGCCAGCCCAGTCACCAGACATAAACTATATTGAGCATGTCTGAAGTAAGATGAAGGAGGCATTAAAGATGAATCCAAAGAATCTTGATGAACTCTGGGAGTCCTGTAAGAATGCTTTCTTTGCCATTCCAGATGACTTCATTAATAAGTTATTTGAGTCATTGCAGAGATGTATGGATGCAGTCCTCTAAGCTCATGGGAATCATACACAATATACATTATATTAACTTTATATTCTATACTGGACATTATTTCTGTAAAGTGACAAGACTTTTGTCTGAGAAAAATCAGATCAGACCTTACTGTCCAAATGAAATAATTAAAAATCAAGCCATGATCATATTTCAGTTTGGTAAAATAGGCGAAATCTAGAGGCGTTTGCCTTTCATATAAGCCACTTCTGATACCAAATGATCAACTAAGTCAAGTTATTATTTGTTATTCCTAAAACTTGGATTAGATTCAAATTGATTACACATTTTTGACAAAATACCATAATTAATTAATAAAAAATAGGGATACCAACGGAAGCTCAAGTTACTCTCTTAAAAGTGTCCGATAGTCACTAATAGCAAAACTGTATGTTTTAACTGCTTCAAGAGCTTTGCTACTGAGAAATATCAGAGATTTTCAGTTTCAAAACTTTATGTATAAAGTTTTGTCTGAATAGCTCAAGTCTGTCTTTCTCAACAGTGTTTGACAGAAGTCACTAATAGCAAAACGGTAAGTTTAACAACTTCAAGATTTTAAGCTACAAAACAAAGTGACAGGGCAGGGCAATGTTTACATGCATTTCAGTGTTTGTATGCAATCAACACCCTACTAGAACTACTATTACCCCAGTGTTTATCAGCCAATCAGAATCAAGCTTATTCAGCAGCCAAATAATATAACAAAGCAATAAAGGAAACACGCCATGAAGTACAGGAGATTTATTGAAATGGGTGGTACCGTCATTTTCACCCTTTTATATGGTAGTCACATAGACAATACACTCAGCTCTCGCTTCTACACTCATTCATGCTGCATGCCAAGAATGCAAAGACAGACGTGTTGCTTCTGGATGATTCATCAATAACTACATCTACGCAAAAATGTGTAACCACCCTACAGAAACGTGTCTCACTGAGAAAAGTCCTCATCTTAACAATGATCCTTAAAACACCGTAAGCAAATTCCAAGGGTAAAATTCTAAATTCTAAGTAGTGTTATTTACACACCATTAGAAATTCAAGTTCATTTTTAGAGGAAACTTATTACTTTAAAAGGAAGGAATGTATGATACAAAATACTGAAAGCACTAAGATTAATGTATACAAAACTAAACAGAAAATAAATTTTCATTCAAAAAAAATTACTTTTGCTGCTTGTTCAAACTACTTATTTAAAATGAGTTGAAACAGCACAATTAAAAACTTAACTGTTTCATGTTCAAGTTTGTAAAAACGATGAAGTTAACAATTGTTTTGTGTTAGCAAAACATGAAGGAATTACGTGGAACCCAGCATTTTGTACAGTGATTCAATGGTCCAAACGTATTTTATGTTCAATATGATTACAGCACTAAGATTAATGTATACAAAATCAAAAAGAAAATAAATGCTGATACTGTTGCTTCCATGCGTTTTAACTTCTCTATTGTCCAGCTAATATGCTTTATTCAGAAAATGTAATCCATTATTTTTATTTTTCAGATCTTTTTTCATGGTTCAATGAAAGTATGTAAATTCATCTAAACCATCTGTTAGAAAATGCTAAGAAAACAGCAGCATATGAATTACTGTAACACATTACGCATTGAAGAACTATAAACATAGCTAAACAACAACAACAAAAAAAAAAATGAACAGCCACGAGAGGAAAGAAGTAGAAAAAAATAGAAAAGGAAAAAGGTAGGCTAAACATTTACAGTAAACTATTAAACCAATGGATATTACAAAAATACACATAAAAGCTAAATCATATTCATTAAAAACATCAGATGATTATTTGGCTTCTTGATGAATAACCACGACGAAACCATAAACAACGTGCTGACCATTGTTCATATAAATGAAAAGAAAATATCGCGTCAGCTGTGTATTCTGTGATATAATTAGTGCTCGATAAGATCTACACAGGGTGCTCAACACTGTGTTTGTGATTACAGACATTACTGATTGGTCAAAATACATTCAAAGTACCACACGGAATTGCTCTCTAGGGAGATGCATAGCAGTTCCAGTTCAATGAGACAAAACAGAAAGGAGGAAAGTGCTTGGCTGAGTACGATAAAAACACAGCAATACATACTTACAGTTAGTAGTTTTAAATAATATTTGATCAAAAGCTCTTTTGTGTGTGTGTGTGTGTGGGGTGGGGGGGTGGGGGGCATGTAATGAATGCATAGCAGTGCAGATATGAAACAATGAACAGAGAAATAAAACATACTCAAATGGTAAGAGTAAACTGCACTACAGTTAATGTTACTCTGAACTGATTCTTTTTGGCCAGCTACATATAATGCAGAACATTATTTAATATCATGTGTAAGTCAATTGTACAACATGTTTGTAAGATTTTTACAGTAAATAAATCATTTAACACATATGCCTGTATTAAAATGGTACAAAATCTAGCAAGTAAACAGCACTATATGGAAAAACGTAACATTCCAACTTGCACAAAACCAAGTAAAGGTCATATTTCAAAGACTGACATGAAATAAGAGCCATAACGACAGCACTGTGTAACACTGCTCGTGGCACTGAATGATTTTGACGTGAGTTGTCAATTACACACATGTAAACCTCTCCAAATACATACTAAAAGGTAGGTAAATAAACCTTTAAACAAACAAAACATGAATAATTTACATCTAGATTAGAACACAACACTTTCTCATTGTGACCCAATATTAGAGAAGACGTGACTTCCTTTCCTGTAAACTAACCAGCACAGTGTTTCTTTTTACCATGTCATTCAGGAAAAACTACACTTGGAAAGATTTCAGCTGATCTACAGTATATACACTCAAATTATACATTATGTTGTTTTATAAATAAAAAAAAAAATTATGGGTAATTATTGTCTAAAGAACTGCCTGGTATAAAGTTTCATTAAGAGCTAACATATTATACCCTTTAAAGTATAAACTACATCTCCATTACAATCATTCTAGTTTTCTCAAATGCACATTTTTTCAGTGTCTGGTGTGCAAATGCACCGATGTTGTTCAAAAAACACACACACTCCAGTGTAACATTGTTATGTTCGAAAAATAAACATTGAAAAAAAAACGGTTACGATGAAAAATAAATGCTCAGATTACCATAAATGATAGCCAATGTACTTTTCTGAAAAGATATGTACCGTAGGTAACAGGAAATGAGACAAATCCCAGTAATCCCTGTAAGAAGTGTATAAATATTCAAGAGTACTGGCTTGAAATCTAAAATTAATTAATTGAGTCAAAAAAAATCTTCTTTTTTTATTCTAAAAATGCCTGAAAACACATAATAGTTTAGCACAATTGCAAAACATACAGTATATATGAATATATATATATATATATATACACTGTATGTAAACTGATGCTGTGAATTATTTGTTTTAATAAATCTTTTTGTGCAGCTGATGAAAAAGGTTTTAAGTATCTTTGATTGACTTGGTTGGTTTAAAACTTGCATTTTAAAATACAAACATCTTCCCAAGTTTGTAACAGGAATGGTTAATAAATTTGTTGTAAACAAAATAAAAGTATTTCTTTTGGAAATTCTAAGAGATTCATTCTGGTTTTCCAGCAAAAAACAAGTTCACTGTTCATTAAACAAAGTCATAGAAGCGTTGGTCAATTTTGGCAGGTATAAACTATAACGCAAACTGTAAACAATCATTGTTTTTTCTATGTGATTCTGGTGTAGTAAACATGATAAACATAGTAATAAATCCGACTGTCTGAACGTTTCTATAAACGTTTTGAACTAAATGACTACAAAGACCAATTAAATTAACGTATTCACTTTCATTTTAAATTTACTGGCTCCGTTAAAATAAGAAATTGAGTTTCATAACTTGCTGAAAGTAGATTTGCAATACTTCTGTGTTTGACATATTGATTAAATAGCTACATTTTAATAAAATGGTCAAAACTAGGGAAATATATGGATGCCATATCAGTATCTGTAAATAAATGCTTATTTGTAATGTTACTGTTATTGGCCCGTTAGAATGATGTCACAGTGTGGTAGTTTTCCATTGTGTGTGTGTTTTTAACACATTTCCTTGCAGTTTCCTTATTTGCTGTAGATAAGGTTTAAAATAAAATATGTTTGCCCACTGTCTGCCATTTGTTTCTGTAATCAGACAGATTATTTTTATCGGCCTATTTATATATCACTTATCGGCTTCCAAACATAGTGATATCGGATATCAGTAATCAAAATTTCCCCAGTCAAAACAATCAGTCTACAATCTTTGACTGTTCTGTGATAAACGGAATATATTCATAAGCAGAACTTTCCAATTCAACATTCAGATTAAAGTCTTTGGAAACTGGATGCTCATTTCTACACTTCTGCGACACGTTTCTTTTGTTTCTGGGACTTAAAAGTGAACCGTGTCATTCATATATGCCATATGCTCACTGCAATTAAGCTCAAAATAAATATTTAGTAGTGTATTCCGTATCAGCGTATTATTATTTGTTAGATATATACGAGTACCATAAGCTTTCAGTACCAGCATCCTGTAACCAACCAATCAATATGGCACCAAACACAAGTCTCCATCACTTGTTTACACTTATTATTAGAATTACCCTGTCAAACCCAAGAGTGGTCTTCCAGTAAATCAACACCCCCGCTGCTAAAACATCCAGTAAACATGCGTTTCTATGTCCGGTGGTGCCACTAATTTATGTTTCCATTTTTGCATATGACAAATGTGTACCTCAACTGATCGGGAGCAGCTTTTGCAGCGTGAGTTCAGTCACAGCAAATTCAAGGCCTCATATAGATAGTCCACCCCAGTGATAAATGTAAAACACAGTAGTACCAAGACTTTTAAGTGCTGAATTCTGTTATACTGACTGAATTCAAAGTAAAAGTCAACTTAAACACAGTTATTTTCGGTAAAAACACAAGAACGCTGCTCTTAGCTAGGAATGACTGCTCGTGAATATTAAAAAAAATATTCACTCATCATGTATTAATTGACAGCTCAAAGGAATCTTAAAAACAGAAATCTAAATAAAGTCATGGAAAAAATCTAAATAGGGGGGTTTGGCATCTCCACATTTAGTGCCTGGCTTCTGTCACAATGTTCTTGCAAACCTAGAGTAACTTTATCACATGAAATTTGTCTATGTGTGAACAAATAGACCTGTGTTCAATCCCAGGTGACACTCCAGGGTCCTTTATCAAGCAATATATATATTTTGCCAGAAATCTTAAGCTACAATATTCTTCAGTGATTCTTTACTTTTTCGAGATCTTTCCAGCTTTTCTCTTGGGCTCATAGGGTGTTCTCAGGATGCTGGGCGTCTCTTCCATTACCCTGACCAGCAGGTTATCAATGTAGTCCTCCAACTCCCGAATATGAGCATCTTTCTTCTTTACAACATCCTTCTGCTTAATGAGCTCTTGCACAACTTCCTCAAAGGAGAGATTGCTGTAGGCCGCTACACTCGTCTGCAGATGTTCAAGGTCCTATTTATGAAGAAAAACACATGGCATTACATTGTTATTGCATAAAAAAACCTCCTGAAACCACTATTTAATCGCTTGTAGCATGCTGGGAAATTAAACTTCTATTCCAATTAATCACATGCTTCTTTTGGCATTCAACATTTTATGTCCAAACTTCAACTTGCCAATAAGTTCATCTGAAGGCTTTGTGTTAGATTGTAAGTGGACACAAGCAGTAGCTGAACTGATCTAGGACAGCAAAGAGGATCTAAAATATATTGACTTTTTGACCAGATTCACTTCCAGGAAATTTTATTGTTTGCAATATACCATAAAAACTTTCCTCACGATAAAAAGTTATATAACATAACATAACATAATATAATATAATATAATATAATATAATATAATATAATATAATATAATATAATATAATATAATATAATATAGAACCTATAATTGGTTATTACGGTGTGTGATAGTTTTGTGAGCATTGAGTCTGTTTACATTTATATATATATATATATATATATATATATATATATATATATATATAGTATTGATTTTTTTGGTATAGATTTTTGTAAATGTAGTTGGCTTTTCATATTGTTTTTCTTTTCCTAGTTAACTGGCTAATTGGGATAGCTTTTGGTTTCAGGTTTGTTTACAGTCTACAGAAAAAAAACATTCATAGGATGATTTTATTAAAATAATTTCGATTTTTGGATGAAACAGTGTTTGCGATTTACTATACTGTCTACACAATAAAACTAGACTATATAAAAGTTACTTTGCACAGTTTTGATATCACATCTCTGCAAAAATGTCAGAAAATGTATTAAAAACAGTGGTGTAACAGATCAAGATTATTCAAAGTACCCATACTAGTTTCAGTGACTGTTTTCTGGAAATAGCATACATTAGAATAGTGTGATTGACCAATCAGAATCAAGTGTTCATGAGAGCTGCATAAAAATGATGTCTAATGCATCAGCAGTATGATAATTAGATAATATTATTTTAAGTTTCAGTGTGCATGAGCAACTTTAGAAAGAAACAGTTATGAAATAAACATGCCATTTTCAGATATATTCGGATTAATGTAGACACATAAAATAAACATGTTATGAAATGTTTCCATCAATAGAGAGCTTATTGCAAAAACGAGCTTTTATTAACGGTGCTGCTCTAAACGTTCAAGCTTCGCTTCTATTAAGCAGCTCAATAATGTGTTGACACAAGAAGTGTATGTGTCTGACTTCAGCATGATATTGAGGGAACAGCAATTTAGAAACATTTGCTCATCTGCCAACAAGTGTTTGACAAATTCACACTTTCTGCTGTCAAGGTGAAAACATGCACTAAATGCGGTCAGCAGATAAAATCTCTTGAAGAGCTTCTCCACTTCATTTGTGGAAAATATTAATCATTGTCTTTCAGTCAAGTCTAATTACAGACAGTAAGTTAATTACAAGAAAACCGCCACCTAAAATCAACATCAACACAACAGAACACAGACCTGGATTTCATCTCATTATTGGACAACTCAAGAAAATAATCCGCGGAAAATCTATCTTGAAAGCTATCTATGATTTTAATAAAACTGTATTAAATTAATTACATTTAAAAAGTTGCATGATTAAATTAAAAAATGATGTTCAGCTTTTAAATAGGATATTTAAACTTAAAAAACACTGATGTTATTACATATAAATCGTAATTCTGTTTAAATACTAGAGATATTTTAATATCTGTTTTAATAGAGATTCAGTATACATTTATTAATAATGATTTAAACATATATAGTCGTTATTCATTACTTGTTGCTTGTTAGCATTTTAGGAGTGCTCGCTAAATGTTTTTGGTGGTCAAATAATTATTGTAAGATTTTTTTTCACAACATTTGGTTATTTATAAACACTTTTAAAAAAACTAAAAATATATGTAAATTCCCACATTTTTCAACCTCTGCTATCAAGACATTTTACAGCCTTAAATTTATGACATCTGAATATTTGTAAGTCCTATGTGATTCATCAAATAAAAAAGCCATACAAATGATCTCTGTTTATATGTATAACAATAAATGAAAGATTAATAATAACCTGCACATGTTGGGTAATAATCCTTTGCAGAAACAAGCCCAAACACTTTTAACCTGCAGCCTCAGCGTCTGAACTGCTTCTGGGTTTGAACTTGATCCACCATATCGGACAGCTGTTTATACATGTGACACTTTGATTATGATTATCCTCCTTAGATTACGGTAATGAAAACAAAACATTCCTTCTCTTTTTCCCCGAGGAAACAGCAGAGCAAATTTGACTCCATAAAACTGTCATTCTAGGAGCTAAAGTGAAAATACGGTGGCCCTGAGAAGTATTTAGACGCATAAATCACATTTAAAATATGCGAACGTCATCGCATTAGATAGCAAAATAGAAAGCAGAATTTATTTGCAAGAAAAAGTTACGCTTTTCAAGAAAAACATTCGCCGATTGACTCTATTGTTACGAAAAAGAAATAGTGTTCAAAATTAATGCCAAAAACGGATGCTTTATGATGGTGGAATACTTTCCTAATGCAATAATCTAGTCAACTGACTTCATAAATCCACTAAAAATCCTCATCATTTCATAACAGCTTCATAATTTGTTTGCTGACGCCACTTGCATGCAATAAAATTCGTATTTTTAGGTGTCGAGCTAAGTGTCAATAGACAATGCAAGCCAAACAACACTCTCTGGCAAACGCAGAGCAGTGAGCGGCGAATCAAAGGAAGGTTTAGAGAAAGAGATGCTGCATGAATTGCGAAAACCCACCAGGGCACAAGCAAGCGGGGGCAGGAAAAGAGCCCAGGAAATGACCATGAACTGGCAAGCAGCTGATGAGCAGATTTAGGCAATCAGGAGTGTGGGAGAGATAAGACTTCCACTTGGCATTCTTCAGTTGTCTCATTATGGGCACTAATGAGGGCCTTTGCGTTGAAAATCTGAAACTCCAAGTCCTTTGAAATGCCTCGGCCGGCTGGCTCTCCCCGCCGCCCCCCATCCTTTAATTAAGGCCTCAGAGTGCCAGAGACACTATTTCACGGATGTGGTGTTAACATAACCTCAAAAATGGGTGAGGAAAGCCATTTTCAGCAGTGCGTCTCCAGTTTCAACATCACTTCTCACACGGCAGGCAAGCAAACGTTACGTTACCGGACGCGATGACGATCGCAATCAGCATAATTATGACAAAGCGAGAGAGGGCAGCTTTCCACATTTAATGCTGACCGCGCTTTGACCTACGCTGTAAAATTAGACCAGTGACAAACTGAGGATTATTAATGATTAGATTTCCAATTATTGAGTGAGAGAGAACATGCCGTCCGAGATGGCTCGCTAACGAAATGGAAGCGCACTAATAGCATCACACTGCTTCAAATTACATGCAGATCAAAGACGATGACCACCCATTTCAGCTGTTAATTAGATAAATGGCCCTCCATGCAGAGCGACCACCAGTGATACTCAGTCAGAGATCAGCATCATCCTCTTGCATGTGTAATAGGGCTGCAGTAAATGACCAATTAAAACTTCGGCCAAGTTTGGAAAACTTATGAGAAATGTGGTCAAACTGCATCTGGACAGACTGGACGATGACAATGTGAAAATGCACCCTTGTTTAGCAATAATTAAAAATGGAAACTAATGTGCTTGTTTTTATGTGGTCGCATGTTGTACAGTGTGTGACAATATGACAATATGGTCTCGATGATACAAAAAAAAGGATTATTACACAAATTTACAAAAGAACTTTTAAATATGTATGCTAAAACCAGTCCTTTTCCACTCAAATGAACCATGGTGTTACCTTCCACCTGTGTTTTGTGTATATGCATTTGTTTCCTCACTCTCATATCTTTGTATCCCTTTGTAACCCACACATAAGGCTGGTTTATACTTCTGTGTCGAGTGATCGGTGTGACCCATGGTGCTCGCCTTGCACATATGCATTGATAATTCTGCGTTCTGTTTGTGTTGCTCTGTAATAACACTTTCAAAACGCAAGCTGCCAGTAGTTTAAGTTATGTTCCTCTGAAACGAGTTTCTTCGCAAGTGTTTTGTTTTGTCTGAATGCTCCCTTCGTGTACAAGTAGCTAAAATTTGCTCATTCAGAGGTGGGAACTGGCGGATGTGCAACAACTTTCGTCATAAAGGTAAACTCAAAACAACAGTTCTCATCTGGAGCTCCTTCACAGAACTCCACTGATCAATGGACTCGACACTTGTAAACACTCGGTTCGTGGCTCTTAGCATCGCCCACACTCGTCACAGCTACTAAACAAACCAATCACAGAACTTGCAACTTGCACTATGCGTTGTTGTGAGGTGTATTTACATTTTTAGAGAGGTGCCACAACGAGGGCTATGTGACCGCGCAAAGGCTGCTCCGGACCATACGCATGTGCTTGACAAGTATAAATCAGTCTAATTTGTGTTTATTGGTTGAACTCCCCATCAACCACAGTTATGACGCCATAAGCTCTGCCTGTCCCATGCCTAATAGATTGAATGGCCTTCAAATTCATTGTACGGTGTGTGATCTGCCTCGTCATACATTATGCTCCACATAGTCTTTGGTTGTTTGTAAATTACTTTGTGTGTCTGGTGTAACTTATGTTTACTTGTTGAACTGTGATTCTGAGTAAGATTTGTTCTTTGGCTGCTGAGTGACACTAAATTGTACAAAGATTTTCTGTTGGTTTCTTGTTTTTTTTTGTTTTTTTTTCTATTAGCATACTGTAGTTTCTGTTTTGTTAGATTAAGCTTTTGAGTATTTTGACTTTGACTTTTTTTAGTATAATTAGTTTGGTTCGAGTGTTGTATAGAATGAAAATCTCAATTTTATTTTGCCATTTAGGAGTTGGATTTAAGAATTGTTTTGGTTTGTAAATTTCTTTAGGTTTGGTCAACATGTTACTTTTTTTTGTTTGTTTAACATTATTGTAAATATAATTTTGCTAATTATCATCA